CCTGGGAGTCAACAAAACAAAATAAGAGAGAGCCATTGGAAAGGGTTGAAGATGAATACATGTGCCGGGCTGTGGTGTGGCTTGGGCATGATTGAATTGAGAATGAGGAGACACCGCAAGGAACAAGATAGGCCACAGCTGAGGCCACCTAGAGACTTCCTGAATAATTTTTCTTAATTAGAATCATCTGTTGTTCTGTGGGTTCCTTGAACCTCTCCCAGGGGCCTACTCAGGTTTTTATGAGTTCTGAAGAAGATTTCACTCTTCCTGTTGCCCTCAAGACAATGCCACTTTTCTACTTCTTTTGGTCCTTTGCTGTGCACTTTTTTGGGGGCTAGGTATTTAGGCATAGGCTCCAATAAAAACTTAACTTCCAGATAGGATAACTGTAAGTTTCCTGAAAATTTTGTTGCATGTAAATTTTCTTTACCTGTAGATGGAAGTTATATTGCTAACTTATCAACATATGCTACCTTATTAACATATTGAGGGGTATTATAGTGATTTCTCAGAAGGCATGATTATACACCTCTTTACATCATTGTGAGTATTCTGCATAACTTTTCTAAGTCAGTACTTATAAGTGAAATTGGTAGATAAAAACGGAGGCCTCCATCAACTTGCTAAGTACTATGTAACATGAGTCTCGGTGTTTCTAGCAGTTCATTTGTTTTAACCATGAATTCCTGACCAGATGCCAGTTATGCCTGCTTGGCACAGAATGGATTGTACAGGAAATTAAGTGGTTTTGATCTCCAAAGAATTGCTGGAGTCAAACTGAAACAGGTAAATGCTAAAAAACTGTTAGGGTTTACATAGATTAAAAACTCATTTACATAATTAGTTGAAGAATGAGTTGATGCATTTGGAAGATTATTCAGAACATACAGCTAGCTGAATTATATTAGATATTTATTTCTTTACTTTTATACAGGTAAAAAATACCTGACTTACAGAATTTAATATAAATATATTCTTTATCTCATGGTTTCCATGAGGGATGTTTGATTTTGACTGTTTCCAAAGCATAAATATCTTGGAAAAAAGTGAAAAGGAAAAGGTAACTTTTTTATGAGGTCAAGGAGCCAGAGAACAGTTTCAGAACCTGAGAGGAAGGATCCAGAGACCAGATTTGGTTCATGGGTTCCAACACACATGGCTGCAGTTTATACATATAGAAGCAATCATAGTAATCTCCTACACATTTCTGAAGCCAAAAGGTGTTAACAAATGGATCACCAGGCTTTAGGGAACATATGACTTCTAGGAATATTAAAATTCTGAAGAGTGTTATACTGAGATGCTAAAAATTAAAATAATTGATTAAAAGATAATTAACAAAAATACTTAAAAAGATAGTTATTAGTAATATTATCATTCTACTGAGCTCATTGCCCTAGTAACCAAGCACCACATAGTTATAAATTAACTGACCACGTCATTCTGCTGTTCTGTAATGCGTCACCCCCCCACCTTAGTGACCTGTGTGCTATGTCAAATTTTGTTCCCCTTGTAAGACACAAATGATGCTGTGCCAACCACTGTTCCCTTTATGAGAGACAAATGTTCCTGAAATGGGCAGACCAAGGGCTGTGAATTGGCCAACCACCCACTGTGAAATGCCTCTGTCCTCAAGCAAAGGAGAACAAAGTCCCACCTTATTTCTGTTTCTCATCACTATGTACTTACTGATCAATGAGCTAGTCATAAATGAACTATAAATATCAGTCAAAACTCTAACTCAGTTGCACAGCTTTGCAAATCCCATTTGCACTGTGTCGCTGGGCCAGCTAAAATAAAAGTGCTTCTTTTAGAAAAGATGTCTTGCCCCATTCGTCATCTTGGGGTCTTGCCCCGTTTTTTCATCATGGGGCCATGTTTTTTTTTTAAGTAGAGTACAACAAAGAGCTGAGTGCCAATTAGTGACAAGGGAACTATATGGCTAGGGGAACTTAGAGTGTGAAGTCCTTGGGTGTCCCTGCCTCAGCAGAAGGAAATGTTTAATTGGATTAGGTATTTGGTTCCATTTCAGCAATAATTGTCACCCCCATGCTTGGCAATATGATCACTTTCAGAATTCAGCATTTTTATGAGCCTGAATGAGTAGCAAGCTTGTCTTGGAGAACTGATGCTTGCTTTTATTTCATCCTTACTCTGTTGCAGACCATCACTATCATTTAAATGTAATGTCTTCACTTTACACGGTAACTGTGCTCCTTTTGTGTTCACATACTGGGTTTCTTGGTGGAAAATTAATAGAAATGAGTGAAAATCATGAAAATGAAATCTGCTGCCTCTAACACAGATTTCCAACTCTCTGTTCTGTTGTGTCCTGCCCTGGCCTGTTCTCAGAATATTTTCTGACATCAGTGGATTTTAGTTCCTGGAGGATTGAACATGAATCCTGAAAACATTTGCAGCCCATTATGGAAAGAGTCCACTGATCCTTGAAAGAAAGCAGGGTAGCCATGAAATGGCAGGGATAAATAAGAAATTTAGAGAAGACCTAACACCATCACTTCTCAAAATTTAATGAAATCGAATGGGAAATTGTACTTCTCAGTTCATTCCTGGAAGCAAGCATTACCCTGATACCAAAACCAGAGAATAATCCAAATAAGAAAGAGAATTACAGACCATTCTGCCTAGTGAACATTGAAGCAAAAATCCCCAATAAGATACTGGCAAACAGACTGCAGAATATCATCAAGAAGATTTTACATCATGATCAAGTGGAATTATTCCCTGGTACTCAGGGGTGGTTCAACATACATAAATCCATACATATAATACACCGTATTGACAAATCCAAAAGCAAAACTCATTTGATCACTTCAATAGATGCAGAAAAACATTTTGACAAAGTCCATCACCTATTCATAATAAAAAACCTACAAAAATTGGGGAGATGATCTTTGTCTCAATCTGATAAAAGCCTTTTATTACAAACCAACAGTCAACCTCATATTAAGTGGACAAACACTGAAAGCTTTCACTCGAAAATCAGGAACAAAACAAGTGGAGACAACTGTCTCCACTCTTATTCAATATAGTCCTGGAAACTAGCTGGAGCAATTAGACAAGAGAAAGAAATCAAAGGAATAAAGATAGGAAAGGAAAACCTTAAAATATCATTATTTGCAGAAGCCATGATACTCTACTTAGAAGACCCCAAAAATTCCACCAAAAGACTTCTAGTTTAAGAAGCAAATTCAGTAATATAGCTGGTTACAAAGGCAACACTCAAAAATCAATAGACTTCATAAACAAGCATAAAAAACTCATGGAAAGAGAAATCAAGGAAACAATAACTTTTACAATAGCATCCAACCAAATGAAATACTTAGGAATCAATCTAACAAAGGATGTAAATAATCTCTACACTGTAAACTACAGTACTCTCAAAAAGGAGATTGAAGAAGAGATTCTAAAATGAAGAGCTATCCCATAGTCTGGGGTAGGGAAATTCAATATAGTGAAAATGACCTTACTTCCAAAGCTATTGTATAGATTTAGTGCAATCCCAATCAAAACCCCGTAGCATATCTCAAAGAATTACACAAAATAAATCCTAAAATTCATCTGGAACCAGAAGAGACCTAGAGTAGCAAAGGTGATCCTGGGCAATAAAGGAAAGATAGGGTTCATCAAAATCCCTGACTTGAAATTATACTATAAAGGTATTGTGATTTAAAAAAAATGATGTGGTACTGACAAAAAACAAAACAAACAAAACCAGATGCAAAGATCAAAGGAACTAATTAGAAGATGGAGAAACAACCCCAGACCACTAAACCATCTTATCTTTGACAAAGGTGCCAAACAGAGTCATTGGAAGAAAAGCAGCCTCTTTAATAAATGGTGCTGGAAAAACTGGCTCTATACGTTCTGAATATTATCTTTCAACGTGTATTAAGCTAAGATCAGAATAGATCAAAGATCTTATATTAAAACAGAAACATTAAATCTGCTGCAAGATAGAGTAAGTAAAACTCTTGAAGACATTGATGTAAGCAAAGTCTTTATGAAGAAAACTTCGATTGAACAGCAAAAATGGAAGAGAATTAAGTGAGAATCTCACCCTACTGAAAAACTTTTTAACAGCAAGAGAAATCACTAACAGAGTGAAAAGACAACCCACAACGTAGGAGAAAATGTTTGCCAGCTGTTCCTCAGACAAAGTATTACTATTGAGAGCATGAAAAACTAAAAAATTTCAGTCTTCCCAGATTTAAAGACCCAATCCAAAAATGTGCATCTGAGGTGAAATACACAGTTCTCAGATGAAGAAATAGAAACAGCAAATAAATATGTGATAAAATGTTCTGCGTCACTCATCATTTAACAATTGAAAATTAAATAGCACTGATATGTCACCTTGCCCCAGAAAAAATGCCTACTGTCAAGAAATCAAGCAATAACAAATGCTGGAGAGGTTGTGGGGGGAAAAGGAACTCTTCTCCATTGTTGGTGGTAAAGCAACCACTGTGGAAATCAGTGTGGAGATTCCACACAAACTAGGTCTACAGTTCCCACTCAACTCAGCTATTCTCCTTCTTGGTATCTACTCAAAAGAATAAAAATTATCATACCACAGTGATATATGTGCACCCACTTTTATAGCAGCAGTTTGTGGTAGCCAGATCTTGGATGGAATGCAGGACCTCTAGCTTGCCAGGCAGGTGCTTAAGCTAAATCCCTGGACCACATTTTTTACTTTTTAACTTTCAAATAAAATGGGTTTGGGAGAAAAAACAAGGACTGAGGTAAAGACTTTCAGTGCAAATACCCATCAGACGTGCTGAGGTCAACATTCCAGAAAACAGCCAGCTCCAGAAGCCTCCACCATCTTTCATTGGGGATCCACAGTTACAGGGTATTTTACTTTCTGCAATTATTCTTGGTGGGGAAGGCAGGCAGGAGAGCAGGAGCCAATCAGTGATGAAGAGGCTGGCTGTAAGAACTGTCCAATCAGGTAGGCCAAGGTAGGCGGTGTCTTCCGGTGTCATGGCGTCAATTGCAAGGCCAGGGCACAAAAGGGAGCACTAAATGTTTGATAGACCACCATTTTTTGCTTCTATTCTCTGTGGACTGCTTAGAAAGAACCTGGGAGACCTCCAAACTACGCAATGGTGATGTTATGGGATGGGAGCAGTGAAATGGGGTGGAATCGGGTTGAGACCAGTTAGAAGTGGTGAGAAGGGGCTGGGGGTTTAGCTCATTGGCATAAGCGCCTGCCTTGAAAGCAGGCAGTCATGAGTTCGATCCCCTGTACCGATAAAAAGGAAAAAGGCTAAAAAAAAATATAAAACAAATAAAGAAAGAAAGAAAGAAAAAGAAAAGGAAAAAAAAAAACAGGTGGTGAGAAGCCGCTGTGCTGTCTAGAGCCTGTGTGCTTAGCCTCAGACCCTGAGGTCAACTAGTGCTAGCAGTGAGTCATCCTCTGTCCCTTTTACCTCTCGCTGGCGCCAGGACAGTTCTGGGTCCCTAGAATGCTGTCATCAATGTGATACCACCAGGCCACAATGCCATTTTTGAATTCGCCTGCTGCCCTTGCTCCTCCAACAGTCTGGGCCCAGGACGGGGCATGAGGAGACCCTGATTGCGATGTGTTTTCAAGCTGGGTGCAGCTGTAATAAGCCAGGTCTCTGCTCTCATTCCTGTCAGCAACAGATATGAAATCCAGAAGTTTATAAATGTCTGTGCTGCAGGACCTGATAGCCACAACTGCTCTCCTTAAACTTACGCATTTATGTATTTTGTGATGGCCTAAATTTATACTATGTTCTCATATTTCCATGCTCATGAAAGGTGGAGGCAAAGGTTCTGAGAATTCAAAGATGTGTAGTGATGTGCCTCAGTGGAGGAAGGCTTCCCAAACACCGGATGAAATGCTGTGTATTATACAGCACAAAGCAAAGAATTTCTGAACATACTTTATGTGACACATGTGCTCATAGATGATGTTTGGGAGAACAGCCATAGAGGTTTAAATTTTGAGAAAAATGAAGCAGATATAAAAGTGTCATCAAGGGCAGGGTAAAGTGGGCTTGCTAAGACAAATTCCAGAAAGGGCTGCCTGTTAAATTCTCATTGAAAAATGCCTAAATGTAGTCATTTTCATGAACATATACAAGTGATATCCTTCTGAATGTAAAGGAATGTGGGTGTCATCTCTAAATTAAGAGGTGATTTAATAGCTTGGTTGATCATATACATTTTTGAAATATGGAAATGCTCTGCAGTGGACTTTACTAAGTGGTGTAAAGGAGATGCCATAAATTGAAATTGTGCAGGGATATCAATAGTTTAGTCATGAAGGGTTTTCTGCTTACGGTGGATCAGATGAGAGTGGAAAGGATGTGGAAGTGACTGTCAGGATGCAGAGGGCCAATAGCAGGACATACAACAGAGAGGGTCTTCCCTGAAAGTCAGGTAGTTCTAGGGTAAGCATGAAGTTAAAGTTGGTTTATGATTTCTTCCTTGAGGTGAAAAACACTAGCTCTGGTAAGAATCAGTATTCTACATCCTTGTCAACCGATGAATTCTTTGTTCTTCACTTGAGATCTAATTTTGATTATCTCTAATTATGACCCAGTGTCATGAAGGCAAAATTTGAAATTTTTTTGTAACAGGAATCGAACTCATGATCTCAAGCTTTCTAGGTAGGTGTTCATGCTGCTGAGCTAAATACCCCACTCTGAAAGTGTTTTCTGCATACTATGTATGATATTAACATTGTTCCTCAGAAATGTTGAATATTGTGGAATTTTTCTATACTGTATGGATATAATTTTTAAAGCAAACCAAAGGTGTCGTATGCAGTCACTTTTCAAGTTTCACATTGTCTGTGGGGTGTCTCAGTCAGGGTTTCTCTATTTCAGACAGCTCTGTAACTTAGGCTAGCCCCAAACTCAAGGAAGTTCTCCTGCATCAGCCTCCCAAGATATATTTCTTATATCTGAATGGAGAGTGATCACTTGGTGACACTGAGCTATAATTTGAAACTCGTACCTGATTTCATTGTTTATACATTTTTTACATACATCAGTTTTCCATGAACATTTGAGTTATTATTTATGTATCATATTTGATGTTATTTATGTTTTGTTCTATGAAACCAAATTTAAATATCAAAATACTGCTTAAGTATATTAAGAACAAAGGACTCAGTGGCCTAAATGAGATTTGAAGAGATATTACTGTTAGGACATCAAAGTGATTCATGAGATATTTGTCTGCCTCTGTGCTTTATGGATGCTGGTCCTGCAGGCTCTCACTATGAGCTCTGCCTTAGAGGCAGTGCACAGGGACTCTTGCAGTGACTCACCATAAGAATCAGTGCTCCTATTTGGCTGTTACATTAGCTGTGAGTTGCAATATAGCATCAAATTTGCTGTCTCAAAAAATGTATATATACAAAAATTAATCCCCAAGATGTGGAATAAAATTTGAAGAAATCACTCTCCATTCAGCTGTTTTGTTTGCTTTTATTTGCGCAGTTTAGTTTTGTTTTATTGAGACAAGTTTTCTCTATGTATATCAGCTAGATTTGAACCCTTTATGGAGCACAAAATTGCCCTAACCTCAAAGCAGCATTCCTGTCTGAGCCTCTTGAGTGCTGGGATTATAGATCTGTGTGTTTTTACCCTAGAAAATATTGAGGCTTGTAACTTAGCTGTGTTGTAGGTTGGCTTAATAGATGCCATCTTGAGCTTTGCATTTAACTAGTGCCCTGTATTTCACTCAGAAAAATGGAAAATCACTCAGGGTATAAGTCCCAGGAGAAAAGCAAAATGAGCTGTACCCAAAGAAAAAAATTAACCTGCTCAACAAAAGAAGCAGAATACAGTTGTCATCCAAAAATTATTATAAGATTCTAGATAAATTATTTCCAACTATGTTTTGGTGATTCTATCTTTTAAAACATCTCTAACTTTTCAGTTCAGAGCCTCTTGTTTAGATCCTGAAATGGGGGTGGGGGTTCTGTATACAAGTGGTGCTGAGAGCAGCTAATGAAATTTCACATTTCTCAATTGGGTTGCTTGGCTTCCTATATTATTGTTCACAAAATCACCTCAAGCTGCAGAATCCTTACTGACACAAGCAAACACCAGGATTAAATGACAGTGACACTGAAATGAAAGAATAGTAGTGAAAAGGAGAGGAGAAAAAAGACAAATGCCATGTGCTATAATGCCCACCTCTTTTCCCCAGCAATGAAGAAGCTGAAACAGGAGAATGGCCATGTATTCAAAGACAGCCTAACCTACATAGTGAGTGCAAGGCTTCCCAGAACTCCAAAGTGAGACTATGTCTTAAAATCAAAAACTAAAATGAAAAAAAAAGCAACCAAGTAGACAGAAAAATTATTATAAACAAACAATAATAGAGCTGAGTGAAATTTGAGTTATGTAAAATGGGAATTATTGAATGATGTTGCAGAGGAAAGAAGTCCATGTAGTGGCATCCAGGAGGGAGCGACTAACACAGACTTAGGAATGGCACCTATTGTGCTACAGGACAACAGTGACCTCCTTCCTCCAATACATTTGCAGTTCACTAGACTGAGGACTTCTAAAAGCTCATGGAAATGTTAAACTCAGGGCAAACAAGCAGCCTGAAATTCTGGCTTTGGAACAATGCCTTTAGCAGACACTTCATATTTAAATTGAGATAAGAGAAATATAATCCTGCCCTGTTTGATATCAAATGCAGCAAGTTTAATGGCTCACAACATTGAGAAATGAAGTCATAAACCAAAAGAAGTTCAAAAATTTTCTTAGAAAAAAAGAAAGAATAGCCCTGAATTTTCAGGAGTGGTCTTCGGGTTTTTGGCCCAGACCTATTCTCAGGGGTCATTTATACAGGAAAGTCACAATGTGGGTACAGTGTGGGTCTCAGACTACAATCAACCTATAAGCTTATAGCTGCTTAACTAATAATATTCAACAGTGGAACAAGTCAGCCAGAAAAGGTATGTGGAAAGAGCCAAGGCATTTTGTGGGAACAATAGTCCAGGTGTTCTGGTCATTGAGTATGGTAATTGATGCCCATCTGAACTTCCTGGAGGAGGTGGTGGTAACTGTAGTACATTTCAAACTGTTGTTTTTCTCTTCAGGACCATGAAGATCTGGTCACTGCATCTTCACCTTCAGGTCTGGCTTTCTTCAGTTGTGCTGTAGCAGTGATTGTTGTATTTAGTTTTTTGCATTAACTATTTGAGGTTCCAGTTCCTCTCTCATTGTATATCAATTTCTCTCCACATTGATATCCTTTGCTAAAATCACAGTTCTATTTGAATGAATAAAGTGAAATATTCATTAATACAGGCCAGGGATTTATCTTAGGAGGCAGAAACACCTGCCTGGAAAGTGCTAGGTTGTAGCTTTGATGCCTGGTACCTAAAAAAAAGTAATTTAAACTGCAAGGAAAGAAAATAATTTCATTTGTGAAAATTAAGATTTACAAAATTTATAACTAAATATGTCAATGGCAAATTAAACATTGTTAATAGTCATATTTAGTATCTAAAGTAGTTGGGTCTGGAGATTGAACTCAAGGATACAAGGAGCTTCCTGGAGAGCACAAGGTCACGAGTTCAATCCCTCATACAGAAAAAAAAATCACAATTGTCAACCATGCAGTGCTATGAGCACATTTATTGAAACTGATACTTTGTATTTAATAGGCTCAATGTTTCTTTTGTGGCCTATGAAATACCTGCAGATAACATGGGTGTTACAGTGAATGATATACTGTCCCTTATAGGATTGCTATTTTCTTAGTTGGTTTTATTTTTTGTTTTCCCACATACTTGAAAGTTGAAAATGTTGGCTGGTGCTAGGTAGAAAAACTGTGATAATCGTTTTTTCAATTTAATGATATATATCCATATATTCATTAAGAACATTTTATTTGCTACAGTTACTCCAAGTCAAATTGATAAACAATTCTTAAATTTACAGGTAGCTGAGTTAGTTAGAAATAGAGGCAACCATACCATGATATAGTGGAATGAAATTCCTGACCTTCTATGTCTGGTATGAGTTTGTGTTCTCTAAAGTCAAAGAATGAATTTTAGGAACAACAGAAATTAAGAGCACAATATACTTCTTGAGAGAAAGAAAGCCACCTGAGAGAGAGAAGGGGTCCTGAGCAGGATGCCAAACACTGTCTTTCTAGGGAACTTTGTAGAGTAAAATCATGTGGTAAGATGAGTTTAAGGTGGGGAAAAATTGGAACTCACAATGCAGATGGGCATAAGAGGGGACAGAGCTATGGTAGCCAATAAGATTATAAGTTCATGTAAAAGTTGATTAAATTGGGAACAAAGGGGAAGGGAGTCACATAGGAAGCAGGCATTCTTAGGCAGCAGTGACTTTTCCCTTAGGGTTTTGGGAGGGTGACACCTGAGTTCATCAGGATGATAGGAGATATTTAAAATGTCAGTCCTTAGAATAAGCATACTTTTATTTGAATGGTGACTCCTGACCCCCTCAGAGTGCTAAGGCACTATTTAGAATATCAGTCTTTAGGATATGGATAAATTTGCTTATCATTTGTCTTGAGACTTGGCCCATAGCATGAGGTGTCAGTCTTCCCCATAGTTGCACGGTATCTCGTCTCCTGCATGGACTCCTTGGAGGACCTAGCCCTGCCTTATGCCAATACTATTTAAAAAACTCATGTGCCTGTAACAGTACTGTTTGGATAATTGATTACAAATGTCTTGTGCTCTGGGTGAATGATCTGGGGATTACAGTGTGCAATGTATATTCAAGTGTTACCCCCGATTGACATGTTTTGAAATTTAATTTTAGTTGATGTGTTCTTTTTTCATTGAAATAAAATGTATTTGAAAATTAAAAGACTGAGGTAAAGCTCTTCAGTACAAACACTCCTCTGGTCAAGCTGAGTTCACCACTGTAGAAGAATGGCAGCTCCAGAAGTCTCTGCACTACAGTCTATCTTTTGAGTTCATCTCTTGCAGGGAGGGGTTCCTTTCCCTGTTGATTCTTGACTCAGAAGGCGAGCAGTAGAGCAGGAGTCAATCAGTGATGAAGGGGCAGGGTATATGAACTGTCCAATGAGGTGGGATATTGCTGGCTGTGACTTCTGTCTGTTCTGGTGTCTCAGCATGATTTACCTGTTCTGAGTACAACAGTGGTAGCAAAATGGTTGCTGGATCTCATTTAATACATTTGATGTCCTGTTTCCTGATTAGCAAAGAACCTGAGAGATCCTGGATCCATGGAATAGTGAGGTTGTGGATAGGAGCCGAGAAATAGGATGGATTGGGTGAAAACAGTTACAAGTGTTTAGGAGTAGTTCCGGTGTCAATAGCCTCAGGTATTTAGTTGGCTTCAGCTGCTGAGATCCTCCAGCTTTGGCCATGGGACATTCACTATCCCTTTTGCCTCTTGCCTTTGGCAAGGGTAATTTGGGGTCACCAGAACCCTGGCTTCACTATGACAGCAGCAGACTCAAGTATCATCTTTGAAATTCACTGTTGGCCTGGTAACTCCACCATCTTAGGCATTGGAAGGAGCTTGGGAAGACCCTGACTATGATGTTTTTTGTAGCTTGTAGAGCAGTAATGAGCTAGGTCTCTGCTCTCTTTCCTCAGAGTAGCAGATCTGGAATGTCCAAAGTTTCTTAATTTCTGTAATGCAGGGCCTCATAGCCACAATGGCTCAACTTAAACTTGGGCTTTTTTGTATTTATAGTGATCTCCTTAATTTATAGTATGTTCTCATATTTCCATCCTCATGACAGGTAGTCTCAAATGTCCTGAGAATTCAGAGATGTGTAGTAGTGTGCCTCAGTGGAAAAAGGCTTCCCAAACAACTCATGAACTCCTGTGTATTATACAGATCAGTGCAAAATAATTTCAGAACATACTGAATTATTTATTTGGCACGCCTGCTCACAGACTAGGTTTGTGAGAACAGCCATAGGGTTTTGAAGTCTGAGAAAAATGAAGCAAATATGAAAGTGTTATCAAGGACAGGGTAAAAATTTGTGAAGGACAAATTCCAGAAAGGGCTACCTGTTAAATTCTCATCGAAAAATTCTGAAATTTAGGCATTTGCATGGACATATACACGTGATATCCTTCTGAGTGGAAAGGAATAGGTGTGTCATCTCTGAATTAAGAGCTGATTTAGTGGCTTGGTTGTTCATAGACAGTTTAAATATGGAAATGCTCTGCAATGGAATTTACTAAGTGGTGTAAATGAGAAGCTCTAAACAGAAATTTTGCAGTGATATCAATAGTTAGGCATTAAGGGTTTCCTGCAGAGGATGGATCAGAGAAGCGTGGAAAGGATGTACAAGTGACTGACAGAACGCTGGAAGCCAATAGCAGGACATACAACAGAGAGGGTCTTCACTGAAATTCAGGTAGTTGTTAGAGTAAGTGTGAAGTTAAAGTTGGGTTCTGATTGCATCCTTGAGGTGATCAAAACCAGCTCTGGCAACAATCAGTATTTCACATCCTTGTCAACCCATGAATTTTCTGTTCCGTACTTGAGATCTAACTTGGATTATCTCTAATTATGCCCCAGTGTCATGAAGGTAAAATGTGGATTTTTTTTGTACCAAGGATCGGACTCATGACCTATGCTTTCCAGGCAGGCGTTCATGCCACTGAGCTAAATACCCAACTATGCAAGTGTTTTCTTTGTTGTATGGCAGATATCCACATTGTTTCTCAGAAAGTGTGAATATTGTTGGAATTTTTCCATATTGTATGGCTATAATTTTTAAAAACAAACCAAAGGTGTCTTATGCAGTCTCTTTTCAAGTTTCACTTTGTCTGTGGGGTGTCACAGTCAGGGTTTCTCTATGTTAGACAGCTCTGTAACTTAGGATAGCCCCAAATTCAAGGAAAAGTCCTTCACCAGCCTCACAGGACATATTTCTTATATGTGAATTGAAAGTGAATGCTTGGTGACAGTGAGCTATAAATTACAGCTTGGGCCTCGTTCCATTTTATATACTTATTTTTTAAAAACAGCATTTTTCACTAACATTTGAGTTATTATTTGTGTACCATATTGGATGTTATTTATGTTTTGTTCTATGAAACCAAATTCATGTTTCAAAATGCTGCTGAAGTATATTAAGAACAAAGTATTCACTGGCCTAAATGAGATTTGAAGAGACATTATCTGTAGCCTATCAAAGTGATTGATGAGATTTTTTTTCGTTTTTTAAATTTTGAAAGTGGTAAAATACCACAGAACAAGGCAGAATAAGGCCAACTAAGATCATACAGTGAAAATGGTACACAACTTCACAACTGGTTACTGTGATAACAGTAATAGGTATCACAGTATACTTTATTATCTTTATAATAGTTGTTCTTTTTTTTTTTTTTTTTGTCTTTTTCCTTTTTATCGGTACTGGAGATCGAACCCATGACTGTCTGCTTGCAAGGCAGGTGCTTATGCCGCTGAGCTAAATCCCCAGCCCCAATAGTTGTTCTTTCAAACACGTATATCAAAATGAGATGAAATACAGAACATTATAGTACTTATCAAAACAGAATATTGAATTAATCTGAATAGAGCAAAACAGTAATAAAAATATTTGCCTCCAAAGAGATACTAGAAGGAAGGCCCCCTTATTTGTTATGGTCTGCTTCCCAGGAGATGCTCAGATTTCTGGTTCCCATTTGCTACCGGGGGTGGGGGGGTGACAGGAGAAGAGGGGTAGGCAAGTGGGATGTTTGATTCTAGGCCGTACATCAGTAGGTTCACTACTGCTTAGTAGGGAGACAGTCCGGTTGTTTGGTTTCACAGCGTCCTAAGTTCCCACATGGCGTGGATCTCAGGAGCTGCTGCTGGTTCTCCCCCTGGAAGGGCCGCATTCTGCGAGACCGCCACCGCTTACCAGGGAGAAGTGGTGCTTACTTGCCTTCCAAGTGTCCTAAATTCCAGCATGGCATGGATCTCAGGAGCTGCTGCTGGTTTCCCCCTGGATAGGCCCCAGTCTGGCACATCATCACCACTTACCAGGGAAGGGAGGTGCTTGTTTGGCTTCCCATTTGATTGATGGGATATTTATATGCTTCTGTGCTTTGTGGATGCTGGTCCAACAGTCTTCTCAATGTGAGCTCTGCTTTAGAGACAGTACACAGGGAATATTGCAGTGACTCAGCACAAGAATCAGTGCTCCTATTTCACTCTTACATTAGCAGTGAGTTGCAATCTATCATCAAATTTGCTGTCTTCAAAAATGTGCATATACACAAAATTAATGACCAAGACATGGATTTAAATTTGAAGAAATCAGTCTTCATTCAGCTGTTTTGTTTGGTTGTATTTGTTTAGTTTTGTTTTGTTTTATTGAGACAAGCTTTCTGTATGTATATCAGCTGGATTTGAATACCCTGTGGAGCCTAGAATTGCCCTGAACTCACTGAAACCATCCTGCCTCAGCATTTTGAGTGCTGGAATTATAGATATATACCACCACACTTTGCTTTTGATTCAGATTTGTAGGAGAGAATTTAAGATTTCCCAAACCTGGTGTCTCAACCTTCATGTGAGAAATATACGTATGATGCTTTAGGAGGTGGTGACCTTGGAGGATGTGGTTGTGAACTTCAGCAATGAGGAGTGGACTTTGCTGAGTCTATCCCAAAAGAACCTCAACAGAGATGTGATGGGTGAAACCTTTAGGAACATGACTGCAAGAGGTAAGGACAAAATACTTTTGTCATTCATGCTATCAGAATATTGTATGTCGCTCATCAGTGCTGTTTCATTAAAAACAATGTGAAAATATTTTTAAAAATAGCTCAGACCTGGACACATTAAATCATAACTCTAAACAAAATCTATTAATTTGTGTATATTATTCTAATGAGTGCTGGTATTTGTATGTCTACAATTCAGGAGGATTGGGGATATCCAGGAAGCTGAAAAAGAATGCAGAATTTACTGGAGATACTTAAGGTAATTTGCACTCATAAGGAGAAGTAACGTTCCTGAGTAATTAGTGAGTCAGCAGAAAAATGACCGCCAAAGAAATGAGGCACCATTCAATTTATTGTCAGTAATATTCTCCGAAGATGTATAAGCTAGGGTATGTATAATGAGTGAATTAAATCATGAAAATGTATGTCATTGCATAGAGATGTGTACAAAAGGCATACACTTTGAGTTATGACATTCTCCCTTCAGTTTTTCAACCCATATATGCATGTGAATACAACACATTCATTATCTAAAAATTAGTAAGATTGCAATAGAATTTGAAATAAAACAGAGTGCTTGTGTTTCCAAGCGATGCTCTAGAGAATCAACCATTCTGACTAAAATTCTTAGAAGGCTGGTGGAATGTTAAGTGCACTCATTCTGAATATCAGTGTGCAGTTGTCTCTAGAAATTGATCTGCTCATACTTGTTCTGGATATATTTTTAAAAATTCAAAATCCACATAAAATACTGATACATGCTTGCTCATATACAAAGCAGATCAAGTTATAATAGATCAGGCCTTGAAGAAGCTTAGCTATCTATCACTGGATTTGTGGAGAAGGAAAATGATAATAGACTCTCTGTGATTGTGCATTCTTGTAAATCCAGCACACTAGGAATCAGATTTTGCAGAATGGCAAATTCAAGTTCAAACATCACAGCTGAATGATCAGCGAAAATGTCTTAAAACAGATTTAAAAAGCTATAGATTTTATGCTAATAGCTTTTGTTCATTCCCAACATGGAAAAGAAAAAAATGTATTATATAATATCAAAAAATAAATAATATAATGTCATTTGCCATAAGAAATAGGTGATTCTTTCTCCCATCAATTCAGTGAAATAGCTCAGCTATAACACCTAAAAGGTCACAGGATTTGTTTTAGATGAGAAACCAAAATATAAATTGTGGAATGAAATGAAAGAAAGTTAATACAGAAAAGTAAGACTGACCATATGGAAAAGGGAACTACAGATTAAGCACAGAAGGGAGATTGTGATGGGGAAACATATCAGGATGATCTGTATGTGATACACATATGTACCCTTGCCCAAAGTGAAGCTAAAGATTCTGCATTTCAAAAGGTACCAAATTTTAAGATTGCCAAATGTGTACCAGTCTTTTGGGAATGGTTGTTTTCAACATGTCTTACAAGGCCATTCTGTTATTTCACGGTCAGAATTTCTTAGCAGGCATTAAAAACAAAACTTGACATTAATGCAGTCATTAAACTGAGACCCTTTTCACTGTGAATGTTTGTTATTTTTTTATTTAATGTAAGGAAAGAGTAAAAAAAAACAAAGTAAGTAGAAATGATACCACTTTCAAAGTGAAAATAAACAGTAAGAAATCTAAAGACAGTGATTACATATGCTGCTCATAGAAATAGTTGATGAAATACAAAAGTGAAACATATGAAGTGGGATTCAAACAGTGAGACTGCAAACAGTTTTGTTCAACTCTCCCATAAAAACTTAGTAATATGGTTATCAATCTGATATGTGGTTTTTTTTTTAACAGAAATGAAAAGCTAGGGAAATCCTGTGGACATACATCTTGGAATTAGTGTAGAGAAGTATTCCTTTGTACTGCAGAAGGTAATGTAAATGTGAAAGAAGCAGAAACACACCACAATGTTCAGATCCATGAAAAATATTGCAGTGGAGGGAAACCCTATATATGTCAAAAATGTGGAAAAGGTTTCACCAAATCTGGACATTGTAAGCAACATGAAAGAATTCACACTGGAGAGAAACCCTATGTATGTAAGCAATGTGGGAAAGCTTTTACCACACATGGACATTGTAAGGCACATGAAATAATTCACACTGGAGTGAAACCATATGTATGTAAGCAATGTGGTAAAGCTTTTAACACACGGGGAAATTGTAAAATACATGAAAGAATTCACACTGGAGAGAAACCCTATGTATGTAAGCAATGTGGGAAAGATTTTACCACACATGGACATTGTAAGCAACATGAAAGAATTCACACTGGCGAGAAACCCTATATATGTAAGCAGTGTGGGAAAGCTTTTACCCAACAGGGAAGTTGTAAGCAACATGAAAGTTCACACTCAAGAAAAAACCAGTGCATGTAAGCATCATGAATTTTTTGAGCACAAGTACATATTGCATAATGCATGAAAAACTTCACAATGGGAAGAAAACTTATATATGTAAGGAATGTGGGAAAGGTTTCAGCAGAAATGCTCATTGTCCAATACATGAAAAAATTTACACTGTTGAGAAACCCTGTGTATGTGAAGAATGTGGGAAAGCTTTCACCACACATGGATTTTGTAAAATACATCAATGACTTCACACTGGTGAGAAACCCTATGTATATAACAATGTGGCAAAGCTTTTACCACACACAGTTATTGCAAAACACATGAAAGAATTCACACTCGGTAGAACCACTGGCTACGTAAGCAAGTGGAGACACTTTCAGCAGCCAGATTGTAAGTGAAATATATGAAGAAATTAACACAAGAGATAAATCCTATGTGTTATGGATTTATCTCAGCGCACATGATCATTGCTGCATATCTGAAAGAGCTCACTGGATCCTATGTGTATTAACATTGTGAGAAATACGGCAATCCATTTTTGTTGTTAAATACATAGAAAAAGCAGCACTCTTCAGACAGTTTAGATCTAAGTTTAGTTTAAAAATTCCAAATAGACCTGAAGAAATAATCAATACAGAAGTTTGATGTCAATATTTCTTCAAAAATTTTCCAGAAATGACAAATCTGAAGTGGAGCTCTACTCAAGTACATATTTTTTATGGTTTTCAGTTAATCACTTATACCTCTTTAGATTTTTTAAAGTGTCTTTGTGCTTCAACATGGCATCTTGTAATTAAACATGGTAAACTGAAATGGGCTTTTCACTTTCAAATATAAATAGTGTCTATGTACTTAATATTTTGTCTTTAAAACTTAATTTTTATATTTTTGATGAATTATTTTTATTTAAAGAAAAAAAACCAAAAAGTGTAGAAATAATACAGAAGTTCTGAAAAATAAACAATAAGAAACCACTAGTTGATTAGTTACATATTGTTATCTTAGAAGTAATTTTTCAAGTCACAAAATTAAAGCATACAAAGTGATATTCAAATAATGACACTGTGAACAGTTCACCTCAGTGATCCAACAGGAACTTATTAATATGCTTATCTGTTGTACAAACTTGTTTTTTATCTTAAAGATGGTAAGACTAAACATGACAAAACAGAACAGTTCACAAGAAAATAAGTTAAGGAAACACAGGTTTCACATCAAGTCCACTGAGATGTTCATTTTCTATCTTACTGTCTCTAGTTTTCTTCAAAATATTTGCTCCCATCTTCACATGCATTGAATAGATACTGAACATTATAGAACTAATCAGATAATTACAGAATGATACACACTTTTTTGAACTTCAAGACTGATTTTGGGGAAGTTGATAATGATTACCATAATGTGTCTCATTCTGTTCGTAGTTGACGTCTTTATTTTTATGTATGCTGAAATTGAACATAAGAGACTAAACCAATATCACTCTGAACAGTGAATAATTGTATCCTTAGAAGGAGAAAGGCGAGGAATTGCCTAAAAAAAGAAGGCAGAGGACATTGTTAAAAGTGTATCAGGATTTAAAAGCTACAGTAGTTCTGTTGCTCTGTTTATTTTGATTATATTTTGTTGTGGTCTGTCTACTCATTAGATTTGAGGGCACAGAGAGATAACCCAAAAATAGAAGGTTATACTATGATGGTATCTGTCCTTAATTTTCTATTAACTAAAACTGAAACCCTATATTACTTACACTGTCTTACTATGACTGATGTTATTTGAAGCTGGTTTGTTTGAATGTTATTTGGCCTGGACTGATTTTATTCACATTTGGTATGCTTGCTGGTATCAAGTCCAACAGTAGAGGCAACTACTCTGAAGATGATAAGATGTGACAGATATATATTGTGGGGCTGGGGATTTAGCTCAGTGGCTTAAGCCCCTGCCTGGCAAGTGTGAGGTTTCCAGTTTGATCCCCAGTACCAAAAAAAAAATTAAATAAATAAAACATATAAATTCCAGGTTTAATTTTTTTATTTAAAGAGAAAAAAGGACATAAAAACACAAAGCAGTAAAAGGATACAAATAATACATAATTTCAAGAAAAAAAATACAGTAAGGAATCACTAGTTAATAGGTTATATATTGTCTTCTTTGAAACAGTTGTCCAAATTATAAAATTAAAGCATCTAAAGTGAACATTCCTACATCGAGATTGCAGACAGTTCTGTTCAATGATCCAACAAAAGCTCAGTAATATGGTTTTCCTTCCTACACACTCAAACAGGCACTTATCCTTTAGACCACCTTCATTTCCTCTCTTCTTCACAATAACAATTACACTTTTGAGATTTTTTTACTCCCATAGTTCTTATTACTTTTTTTTGAAGAGAATAAAACCTCAAGTGAGTTAACAAAACAGATTTGGTTAGAACATAAGGATGGGCATAGTACTTGAATCAAAAATAGAATATCAGCTGATCAAAAATGGTTACTATTGTGCCTCTTGCTATTTTTAAAAAGAGTTGCTATATAATCAGGTATAATAGAATTGATCAAAACAGTAGAGAACAAGACCAATAAAATCTACACTGGAGACCTTACAGGATTTCAAAAGAAGATAATAGTCAAACCATAATGGGCAT